TCCAAAAGTAATTTTTTGTACATTTTCTTAAACAAATTTATGTTCACACTCTGCTTTAAACACGGCTGTAGACTATTCCATAACTTCACTCCACTACTTGATATAGTCATTCTTTTCATCGCTGTTCGTACCGTCTTCGTTCTGAATACTGCATCTCCTCTAAAATTATATTTTTCATCTCGTTCTTGAAACAATTCATTTATATTTTTAGCCATATGTTAACAAATAAGCTAAATAATTTATTTAATGAATCATTTACAGTCAACTACACAAACACAACAAGAAAAAACAATGGAAAACAGGACAGATTTATACAGTATGGGGATAGGTAGAGTTAAGAAACCAGCAGTGAGGAATGAAAACCAGGGAGCTTATATACAGGTGGAGAAAGGCTTGGAGCAGGACAGGTGAGAGCAAGCAGTGAAGATGATGAACAGGTGAAACGAATACTGTCATGACAAAGGGAACTGAGAGTAGACCGAGAAAACAGATAATGATATAAAATAAACACAAGAATTAAGTAAAAAGCAAATCTACAAACAAATGCTCTAAAATGGCGCCGTCTAGAGAGTACAAACAGCAGGAAATGCATAAAGTGAAACACTTGGAAAAATAAAAGAGAAAAAAGTTATCTTGGTCTTTTTTTTATATAATGAAAAAAACCTGGAGATTTGAAAAGGAATCTGTGACTTTGTTAGTTCCACTGTAGGTCTTCAGTGAAGACAAAAAGATGAAATTAAACTTTCTAACCATGACGTGCGTTCCTTAAATCATAAAGGAGAAAATCAGAAATCATTATAATAAAGTTACATCGGTTGAAGGGAAAGGTCTGCCTGCTGTCTGCAGTCTTTCCTTGACTTTCCTCTCATTGCTCAGCTTTCCCCCTTTAATTTTCCTACACAACCACATACTCTGCTCGTTTCTGTCATGACTCCCGGTAACAGTGGCATCTCATTTAAAGGCAGCAGCTTAGCTCTGCATCCATTAGCTGCAGTAAAGGGAGGGTGGACAGGGCTGTGAAAGGCAAGGAGGGAGGGAGAATGACGGCTATTTAAGGGCTGGAGTTAAAAACCAATGGGTGTTTGACCTAAACACTCCTTACGCTTTAAAAGACATTTCCTCCCACATCGACTCTCTCTCTCTTTCTCTCTCTCTCTTGTCAGAAACGAAGCTGAGCCCCAGCCTGAGCTGTAAACGGTGAGGGAAGATAAGGAGCCTGGCTGAGGGAGGATTGACAGAGCTGCCTGCCACCTTGCTTGGAGCAGTGACGCAAGAAAGAGCAAAGCATCCTCTCTCTGGGTGGGCTGAATTTGAGGAGCCTTGGATGAGCTCCACGTGTTGAATGCAGGAGAATATTCAATCTTACCATCACAGGTAAGATGATGCATTCATGCATCAGAGAAAGCTTTCTGTTTTGATGTTGCAGATGTGCAGAGGTGATTACACTTTAAAGGGACTAACAGATGTGGATGCTTGCTGGGTATTTCAGATCAGTTTCAATGCTTTGTTTCTTTCATATTTGCAGAAGTTGTCAAGTTTGACTTAATTGCTTGAAGTCCAAAGGTAATAGAAAAGCAGTCTATCTGTGTTCATTACTGTTTGAAATCCATATGCATCCTCCTGTCTTTCTTTCTGTCTGTCTGTCTGCTTAGGTTTTGCAGCTTTGCAATTTACCACATTACCTCCGTTAGAGCAATTTTTTTTTTTTTTTAAAAAGCATTCATTTTCCCACTATGAAGCTTAGATGTGGAGAAAAGTGGGCGCAGGGATTCGGCAGCAATCAGAGGAAAAACGCTCTACCAATCCAGCCCATTAGTTGTGCTTAATTGAAGTCCAAATCTGGCAGCAGGGGTTTAAAGTTGAAATTCTTTCCTTTTGTGTGGAAAGTTTGAGTCACAGGTTCCACTTCATGCTCAGCTGATGAGGACCGCAATCATTCTCCTCTTTTCTCACATTTCTTTAAGCCATGTTTTTAACATGCATTTTGTCAGCCGCAGAGGAGTTTTCCTTTTTTTTTGGAGAGTATCCTTAAGATCACCCTCTCTCCCCACAGACGGACAGCTGGGTTTCAGCTCCTAAACAGATTCCTACTCCATGACCCAGACACATAGTGCCAGAGGTCGATTGTAAATCAGCTACACACCTCATTATTTTCTGCTAAGGGTGTTTAATTATTTCTGGGCATCCGGTTAGCAGTTTAAGCAACGGACCTTTAGCCTGAGAAAAGTGGACGCTGTTGGGTTATCAGGGTAACTTGCTTTTTTTAAATACCCATATCTCACTCTGCAGGCCACTTTTAACAGAGCTTGCCATGTTATATAACAGCAGTGTCTGCTTAGCATGTGGACCTTGAGCTTTTCAATCATCTTTTCATAATAGCTTGGTTGACATTTTTTGCTAGAAAAAGATTTTTGTGTCATTCTAAACTGAAATTAGAAATACTATATACTATTTTCTATATAATTTTGAAAGACTCTGAAATATTTTAGCACAGTTGTATTCAGCCTGCTCTTTTCTGTCACGCTGAATGAGTCTAAGTGCGCTTCGATTCACCTTTGTGTGATACGCAGCCGACATGTCAGGGAGAAAATAACCTAGTCTGGGGACAATAGAATTTTTATCTTTTCCCAGAGGGAAACTCATATGTCAGTCAAACAAAAACTGTAAAAAAAAAAAACTACACTGTTAAGCACAATAGTGCCACCATTATGCTTTGGGATGTAATTGTAAAATGGATGGAGTGAAATAATGTCAGTTTTTAAAATCTCAATGAAAGACTGAAAAAGTAACTTTTTGTTCCTGTAAATATTCCCTCATTTCGTATGTTAAATTCACTGAAAATTGCCATCTAAGCACCTTTATTTCAAAATTACACCTTTTATTTAATGTGTTACTTAGAATTAATTTGAAAGACAACTCAATTTAATTCATCATAGCAAATAGTATAAACAAAACAATTTACTGTAATTAAACTTAAAAAATGCAAGTAAAATTTGATTGTGTATAAGGAGCAAACTTGGTGCTTTTTTCCTAGCCTGTCCATGTTTAGGTCAGAAATAGAAAATATTGTTTCCTTGTTGGCTGGATGGTGGTGCAGTTTGTAGCCCCGTTCGTTGCCTTGCAGCAAGAAGGTTCTGGGTTTTATTCTCGGTCCAGGATCTTTCTGCATGGAGTTTAAATGTTCTCCCTGTGCATATGTGGATTCTCTCCAGTTACTCCAGCATCCTCCCATAGTATAGAAACATGACTGTTAGGTTAGTCGTCTTCTCTAGATTCTCCTTGTGTGTACACGGTTGTATGTCTCTTTGTAAAATGTACTAGCAAAAAAAAATCTACTTAATTTTGTTTGTTAAACAAACTTTTCTTAGTAGGTAATATTAACAAATATATTAATTATTATGTGAAATTTACAAAGAATTTCTGTGTGGAAAAAGTTACCTATCTTTTTCTGAGTAAATGGTACCTCGAAATTTGTTCAGTGCAAATGCAGACATGACATAGGAATGGTTGAAATGATGCGTGGGGTAAAGCAAAAACCTGCAAAGTTTGCTAAAACATGAAGGGAGCAGAACATGAACGTAGGAACAATAAAAATGTATTTTAAATGACAGACTGAGCAAAACTGAAATATTAAGTTGATAGAAAGAAAGAATTAATCCATCAGGTTCATAAAGGCTAAGGAGGTAGTTGTTAAAATAGGAGCCAAGGTGAGCACAATAAACAGAACGCGGTAACGGTGGGAGGTGACATGTGCAGAGGCGACGGAGGGAGGAATGTGTACAGAATACAAGGAAAAAAAGAAATACATCAAAGCACAGGAAAACCAAAACATAATTTAACACAAGGTAAATCCAAACCAAATAATAAACCACCAAACGTCTTAAACAAAGCAGTCCCACACAGCTCGACAATTACAGAGCAGTCCTGGTTTATAAAAAGAAAAAAAGAAACACTTTGAGGCTGAAAGAGACCTGAGACCTGGGCGGAAGTTGCCCTTCCCACAGCACAGCGGCCATAAACATGCAGTTAGAGCTTTAGCCCAATGGTTTTAATCAAAGCCAAATAAATCCATTTCAGAAGCGGAAGTGACTGCATTTTAATACATGCTTTCCTTACCATCTGACTGGGATTAAGGAAGTTTGTGTAGAGTTGCCACTTTGGATGGGTTTTCTTTTATAAAGCAGATAAAAAATTTAGGTCACGTAAAATCCAGATAAAATCCAATAAAGTTTGTGGTTGTAATGTCACCATATGTGAAACCGACTGAAAATGGGCAAATTCATTTTGCAGGGTAATATAGTACGACTTAAAATACTTTAATAACTAATTTTATAGGCTGATTTCTAAAAACAGTTTGCTTTATTGAAAAGCTAGTCGGATTTTCTCAGACTCACCCGAGAAGTGAGTGAAACTTTAAACTTCCCTTAAGGAAGTCTGGCCAGTTGTGGTTAAAACTTATCAGTTAATCAGGTACAGTATTTTTTTCAGCATTTTCTCAGCCCTAGTGAGTGCTCCCGTAAAGCTATGTGAGATCATTCCCAGCTGTGCCAGATGTGGAATGGATCTGGATTGCAGAATGCATGGAAACTAAAAATACTTGCACAAACAACATAACAAAAAATCAAGTGGAGCTCTTGTTTTGTGCTGACTGCGGAGTCCCAATGCTCCTCCGTCAGTGTTTCCGATGAGGAGTTTGTTCAGATGTGCAGCGCTGCATGGTGTGTGACGGTGCTTCGTCACCAAGGAGGACCTCCTCAGAACTGATGCCACAGACACTACTATTCCACTCATGCATTTGCACTTTAAGTTTAACTAAACGCCCTGTCTTTTCACCGTCTGGATACGTGATAAGTACCTTCATGGATTTTTCTCTTTCTTTTGCTTGACTTTGCAAAACAGATGTCGTCAGTCGAGGGCCAAAATTCCCAGTTTCTTTTTTTTTTCCACGTGGGAAAGTTTCCTTCTTGCTGCCAACATGAAGAAAAAAACGCATTAAAGCTCCGGCAAAAAGATTATAGCTTACTGAGCAGGTTATATTAGACTTTAATTTTTCTCCCTAAATTGTCTGCCCATGTCTAAGCTTCACATGAGATGTCCTTGGTTCCCCTCAGTCCTGCTCTGAATGATGTATTCTTGTTTTTGTTTTGTAAGAACTGCTGTTTGAATACACTACGCATAAACATCACATAAACACAGTGTCTGGTGAGTCTGAAAAGTGGCAGTTGCTTTTTAAAACAAACAAATGATTTTCTTAAGCATAAATTCTGACAACATCAATGATTTCTTTCACTCTGTCTCCAGACCTTGGAGACAGAGTTGTGAGAGTTGGGAGATGTTTTAAAGCTCCAGGCTAAGAGGAATTATTGGAACAATGACATTTGTGCCACTTCAGAAGTGTACTGAGCACCACCTGGCAGCTGAAACGGCTGCAGTCATACACTGTCAGGCAATTCTAACAGTGCCACCGGTCAAATGGATGGAAAACTATTTGGTCTTCCACTTTCTCTTACTGATAGATATCTTTTTTACATTATTCTTTGGCTTACGGCATAAGACTCTGTCTCTACATGCTGGGCACTTTGCCCTCCTCTCACACCGCATGATGTGTGTTGTGGTCTGGATAGGCTTTCCGGCTGGTCTGTGCGCTATATGAGCTGCAGGAGCCTCACCAAGGAACCAGAGCTACGGTTATGGGAGAATAAAACTTCCCTTCAGTTTGGACAGCCATGGGAAGAACTAAATAAGTGGAAAATGGTGCACATTTATATGACAATTTGTTAGTCTTACCAGTCACTCGAAGCACTATTTCTATGAGTCAACGCCCCCCACCCCACCCCCCACACACACACACACACATGCACACAACAGCAAATGCATGTGTACTCTGATAGTAACAGTGGGAAGCTGCAAAATATTTTGAATCTGGAGATTCTGCATGCTCTCCCTCTGCATGTGCGGGTTCTCTCCAGGTACTCCCACGTCTTCTTAGAGCCCAAATACCTGACTATTAATTAGTCATTCTAGATATCACATAAGTATATGTGTGTGTGTAATGTAGCTAAGAATCAGATGAGAGGTAATGAGCAACTGGGCAGAGTTGGACAGGTG